TTGTTTAGGCCTTCCCAATCTCTTTCCCTTTCCAATATCTTTCCCTTCAATGAAAAAATAACTAGTCAAGTAGTACTTTATAATACATGAACAAAAAAGTTTTTCCTGGGCATTGGACTCACAGGGACATTTTTGTGACCAACAGTGATTGCCTTGAGATACTTGTGTGGTGTTGTGTGGTGTTGAGGCTGATTATAGTTCCAAAATGCCAGATGACATTGAGACATGAACTTCTTAACAATTCAAGAATGCACAAATACACAGTAGAGCACTGTGAACTTTGATTTTAAAGCCATCATTGTCATGGAAACTTGGATTTTTCATAATTTTATGAGTAATTACCTCTATCATCTCTGAATAAGAGCTTTTTAGAGCTCTTATTTCTTAAGTTTAAGCTCCTAGTCTTGGCTAGAACCATGTATTTAAGTTTGTTTACTTAGTGCACACTTTATAGTTGCCTATAAACCAAAGAGTAAAAATGAATGCGAATCCAATCAAGCTTATCTTATACTATTTCTATTGTAGAATTTAAGTTCGCAAGCCCTTCCTTAATCAATACTTCAGGTATATGTTACAATTAAATCCATAGGACCCACCTTCCCCTTACCATAACATAAACAATTCAACTTATTCATAAGTTGTTAGCATGACTTAATTGTCTACAAAAGTAGCCTTTAATGGAAAAGTGAATTTTTATTATCGATGAAGTGATTGTTACTTTAGTTTCATAATACTTGTATGACACTTACAGAAAAAGTTCTTATGAAGGCATCTGGTAAGTGTTCTGATGGCCCAAATTGATGTTGAAATTACACTCTTAGATCTTGGCATTTGCCAAGGGCGTTCAGTTTCCTGTGGCTGTTGACCAAAAGCCCTCGTACAAAAATTTAGGAAAAATTTACAAGAATATTCCAGAAAAAAAGACCTCATGGTAGACTCATTCTCATAATGATTTGACATACTCCCAGTTCCATCTCAAGCCTCTGTTGCAATAATTACAGCTCTGTGATAACTATTTACAACCCACACATTGCCAGACATTACCGTTTCTAAGTCTACATTTGCTTCTTTTGCATTTAAATAATTTGTGGACCTTATCCAATTGTCTGGGTAATGTTGTACCTCATCGTTGACAAGCAAAAGGAGGGGCTGAAATGATGGTGCTGGCCATGACAGATATACTAAGTCAATTGTTGGAGGAGTTAGCTTGCTTCTAGTCAATAAAATAATTGATTTTTACTTACTGGGATGGAGCCTAAAGATGTGCCTTATCTTTTCTCCTCTGTATCATCCATTTTTTTTTTTTTACTTCTCTTGCTTTCCCATTGCTTAATGCCGTAAACAATTGATACATATTTTTTAATAAATGAATGTGCTGAAGAAATGTCTGTAAAATACAAAAATATACTTTGGATGCAATTATGTTTTGTCTAAATCTCACCACCTCCACTTCCTTGATTTTTACTGGAAGCATTAGCTTTTCCTGGGAGTTACAAAGCTAGCGATCACCAAATGTGTGCTTACAATGTGTGTGTGTGCACACACTTTGTGTGTTTATTTCTATCATAAGATATTTCCAAAGAGAATTTTAGATTTTTAAGTTGTGTTTATCTTCCTTTTTTTTAATTTTCTTTTGCTCATAATTATTTAATTAAATACCATTTTCATGCCAAAGTCAATACATTTAATGATAAAACACTGAAGCCGCTGAGGATTTTATGTGACAGAAAACAAAGAAGTCTGCTCTCACTGTTTTTATGTCACATTGCTTTGGAAATACTGGCCAATGTAATGACAGATGAAAAATAATAAAACATAGCTTTTGCAAGATGCAGAGATAACATGTCATTATTTGTAAACTATAGGCTTGCATGCTTTGGTTTTCCAGGTAGAAAACAAAGTCAAGCAAAATAAAAGAAATAGTATGAGTTCAGTGCTTCTCAGGATGTGGTCCCACGACCCTCTCAGAGGTTTGATGAGGTCAAAGCTGTTTTCTTAATAACACTAAGATGTTTTTGCTTTTTTTACTCTCATTGTCTCCTGAGTGTACAGGAGTGTTTTCTAGAGGCTATGTGATGTGCTCTCCCAACATATTGAATGCAGAAGCATATACAGTAAAACCTTAGTTTGCGAGTAACTTGATTTGCGAGTGTTCCACAAGATGAGCAAACATTTCTAATACATTTTAACTTGGTAAATGAGTGATGTCTTGCAATACGAGTAGTTTGTTTCCAGAATGAATTATGGTCGCAAACTAAGGTATTACTGTATTAGAATCTGACTGTTTTCTATTAAGCCAGACATTTAAGAGGTTTATAAAATTATAAAACAGTGCCTCTTTTCTCACTAAATACATGGCTGTTTTGGAACAAATAATTATTTTTTGTAAAATTAGGTAACTTATGTTAACGTATAACAAGCTTATTGTTATTTTTACATGAACTAATCAAAGCATTTCAAAAATTAGAAATTCAAATATATAAATTTAATAGTTATAACTTACATATACAAAAGCTCCTTAATATTTTTAATAAGTTTTGAGATTGTAAAGTGGTTTTGAAATAAAATATTTGAGAGTAGGTGGTACAAAGAATGGGCAATATGTATTTGTGTATATAATAGCAATAACAGTGATAATTTAAAGTGGAAAATAAATATCTAAGAATAACCTTACAAACCTATCTGAACTACATAAAAATACTCTATTTCAGGATATTAAAGGGGACTCAATAAATCAAGATTCATACTCTGTCCTTTGATGGGAAATTTCATTTTACAATAGTGTTCATTCTCCTTAATCTATAGATTTCATATATATATATCCAAACAATGGAAACATGTTAAACTTGTAGAAATGAAAATTTTGATAAAATTTAACTAAATGATTCTAAAGTTTATACAAGAATAATGGGTTAGTAACTGCAAAAAAATCAATTTTAAAAAAAGCCTAATCAGGAAACCTGCCTTATATGATACTAAAGTTACAACAGAGAGTTAAAGGGAATCAATTATCTCAAAACTAACTTCATTGTGTGCTCTGCATATATGTATATTTGTGTGCATTTACTATTGGGTTGTCGGGAAAGTCATGATGTATCTTTTTCTGTGTTTTTCATTGCAAAAATGTGTCATGACTTTTCTGACAACCTAATATATGATAAAAAATATTAGTATTCAGCTTAATTCACAATAAAAGATATATAAATGTAAACAATTGTTATCAGTTCAGTAAAGATAAAAAATTAATATTAGAGATAATAGTAGTATTGCTATGTATTCATAAATTGTTGGGGGGACAATTATAAATTTTAGTAACCTTCTTGGATAGCTGTTTGCTCCTGTACCTCAATCAAGTGCTTTAAAATATTCATAATCTTTAATGTGGCAAATTTATTTCTAGCCATCTCTCCTGAGGAAATATTCAGAAATGAAAAAATATTTAGACACAAATATGTTCACAGCACCGCTTTTTATGATAAGACATTTTAGAATAGCATATATGTCTACATATTGGGTAATGATTAAGTAAATATGGTAACGACAGGAAAAACTGCATACAGAATAATAAGTAAGAACAGAGAATGCATTTCATATATTTCATAAATGTAACTATTTAAAAAGTATAGCAAGATGCCAGTAGATATCTTAATACATTTACAGTAGTTATCCCTGGATTCTGGAATTACGAATAATTTTATTATCCTCTTTATGCATTTTTGTATTTTCCTTTTTTTTTATAATGAACATATATCATTAAAGTAAATAAAAGCATTACAGTTGAATGAACTTTACACACAACTGTTGAGGTTTTAATGTGTAGATTATCACAGATCAGATGCATGAGATTTTATTCTGCATTTCAGCCCTGATTTACCTGCCCTTTCCCATCTGACAGCAGCTTTCTTGGGTAGTGCCTCCATTTCCACAGCGTAGGTTTTGTCCACTCATGGGTAAACTATATATCCTTAAACGAGTAACTTTACCTCTCTTGGTCTTTAATTTCCTTGCCTGTCAGATGAAGTTCCTTCCAATTTTGAAATCTGGACATTAAGTGATGAAGGTTTCTAAAATTATATTTCCAACAGAAACATCTTTTCCTACAATCTGTATGTCTCTCTTTTACTCTACATTTTCTCCTAACAGCTTCTATGTTTTATGCTTCTGGATCTGCCCCTCCCCTCCCGAACATCTGATGATTGAAGAAGGGATTTTAATGTGATCTTTCTCTCTCTCAGTAATACTCAAGGTAGCATCCAGACCCTAATGTCCCTGTGTGAATATTGTTGACTGTCATTTATGGGTCTTGAGTGATACTCATGGTCATAGAATTTATAAAAATCTGTAAAAATTTTAAGACTCTAGATATAAATGGACTGATTTAAGTTTGATAGTGAATTGCTGTTGCCTTTTCCTTCTCATTTTAGCCTGTTTGGTTGGGTCTTACCGATATGTACTCTATGCAGTACACACAACCCACATTTGGCTGCATGTTTAACATCCGAAATGATTAGCACTTTGGAAATATTATACTTCTGTTTTTGATGACGCTATTATATATTATTTAAATCGTAGTTTACCATCTGATGCTCTAACTCTGTGGTGCTTACTAAAAATAATTGCTATACTTAGTTGTTAATTCAAATAAGTCACTAAATATTGGGCTGTCGGAAAAGTCATGACACATTTTTGCAACGAAAAACATAGAAAAAATACATCATGACTTTTCCAACAACCCAATATATTAATGGATGATGATATGAATGCATATTGGTATAATATGATAAGCTCCATGCAGATCCATTCACTTTCTATCAAATATAATTCAACTTATTAATTTTTTTAGTATAAAGTTTTAATCTATATTGTATACTTTAAATGAAAAAGCAATTGATTCTCTTAGACTTGATTCTCTAATTAGTCATTTGGGGTAGAATATATGCTGTTTGACATCTCCATGTGATTCATGTGTACTGATCATTTTTTTTTTTTCTAACTTACAGCAAATAGTGGCAGCAATAAATGCAGGGATTATACCGTTAGGAAACACCTCCAATCAAATCAGTCACTGGGACTTGGGAAGTTCCTTCTTCTTTGCTGGCACTGTTATTACAACCATAGGTAGGAGACAACGTATTTTCTTTTTTAATTTTGGGACAGTTTGTGAGCTAAAATTCATTTGTTTGAAAAAAAAAATTTTTTTTTAACAGTTGGTCAAAATGGTCTACCTAAGGTAGAAAACTGAATTTTAGTAAATTGATTTGGAAAAGAGGGCTTAAAGGTTAGAACAAAGGAACGATGCAAATGAATTAGTTATCGTTTCAGAATGCTGAGTTAAGTTTAAAATGCACATGAAATTCGAGAGCAGTGCAGTTGAGTCATTTGACTAATGGATAGGGACATCAAAATGGCTTGAGATGGCAATTTTGGGGTGGGGGGCAAGGCATTGTAACATTTCCTGCACTTTGATTCTTTGGCATAGAAAGAAAGGGTTTGAGTACAATATTGATTTTTTTTTCCCATGACTTGATGTCACCATTTTCCATTTGTAAATTTTACTATATATTTCAACAAAGTGTTCTTGTTCTTAAGTACGTGTCTATTATAATTAACTCAGGGCTTTTCTTTTATACCTTATTTCCCTTCCAATAGCACAAACATATACAAACTTCACACCGAAATAGGGGTACCACAAAAAGAATTAAACTTTAAACCTTTGCTGCTTTGCCTTTTCATCAGGTTGTTTGTTATAAGGTTAAAAAAAAAGTCGCATGGTGGAACACCGGCCCTTTTTCAGGCTTGGCGGTCACACACTCAGCACCTTCTAGGCAGCAGAATGGACACATGTGGATGACTTCTTTTCTGTTAGTCATTAGGTGCCCATCCTTGGCTATTTCTATATCCAGAGGACATAAATGCAGACCCCACAGTGACAGCCATGCTTGCCATGCTGTAGGGACTGCGAGGGGCCACAACTGCCTTAGTTCGTGGAAAGAGGTGTGTTCGCAGCATAATTTTAAAGATAGGGAAGGAAACTCACTCATCACAGTTATGAAGGAATTTTAAGTGGAAGAAAATATATGAGCCAAAGGAAATTCTTCCCTTCCACCCATGCTTGCGGTGTGATGAGATTTCCTCTCATGGGCCTGATCTCTGATGGGGTGGGAATGAAGATTTTTAGTTTTAATTTCATTCTTTGACGTCACTGACAAATTGTGAGGTGTGTAAGGTGTTTTGAATCTGTGCTTTATATCGAAGTCCTAAATCAGAGAACATGGATAATTTATGGAAGACCTCTGGTTTTTGGTGTTTTTTTTTTTCCTTTGGGAAGAATTTGTCATGTCCTGTCATTGTGTGAAGCCACCGTAGTGCCTCCGTGTGCTGGGTCACTTGCCAATGAAATAAATACCTTAGCATGTTGATTTTTTGCCTTTGTGAAGAGGTCAAGTCAAGTAACGATGTTTACTCTTTCATTTCCATTAGCTAGGTCAAAAGTTGTGTGGCTGTGAAAATCTGGAAGAATGCAACCTTAATTTCTAACCATAATAACAGGCTAACTCTGGAGCGTAGACATCTTGGTCATTCTACTATGGAAATGACTGTTTATTGTGTAAACTACTTAGAGTCTGGGAGGAAAAACAGCTAACAGACGGAGTGAAAATGGTTTGTTTCTGCCCAATGAAAACTCCAAAGGCCAAGTTAAAACTCATCATGGCCACCACTAAATGATTCCGCAAGAGACGGGGTCATTACGCAGACTTACTGCTGCACCGTGTGTTTATAAACAGTCTCATTTTTTGAATCCCAAATTCAGTAAGTTTTGCAGACATATACTTCAACACATGAAAAAAATAAATAAACCGTTATTACCAGCTTTACCCCAAATTACAGCCATTAAGCACAGTAGCTGATTATTTAGGTTGTTTAGGTAGCTGCCTGACAGCCCAGATCGCCTACTGTTCTATCTCAGGCTTTCGTCTTAGGTGGATCAAGTCATTCTAGGTCACCCAAATTTATTCCATGGTCTTTTACGCCTACGTCAAGGCCACCTCCTCTGACCTTGGACTAGATTATGGTCTAGGGCAGGGTAAACTTTTTGGCCTCTTTCGTAAGTGTCCATTCGACATCTAAATCATTATTCAATAAAATTCAAAGGATCATTATTAATACTACTAATGATAATAATTGTATGAACTTTGAAGTGATTTTTAGCAATCACAGAAATTGTAACCTCTATCCCTAACTACCTTGTGTTAGTCATTTAAAAATAGAGCTTGAGACCATTTTGGAGAATAAATGGCGATGGCTTTTATAAGGTGCCTGGTACAAGCACTGCTTTATGGAGTGGCATTGGCTGCAGTTGTCCAGAAGTTTTCTATTCAATGTTATCAATGTGCCTAAGAAGTCAAAGTGACCCTTCCTATTCATTGGAAATATGCCCAAGGGAAGTTCAATTATACAAAATGGAATATTAAAATGTAAGGCCTGGGCCGGCCGAGTGGCGCGATGGTTAAGAACTGGCTTGGGATGCCAGAGGGCCCCGGTTTGGATCCCACATATGAGGGCCAGTGACACTGCCCTCTACAGCTAACATGCTGAACAACAGCTCAGCCTGGAGCTGGGCTGCCGTGAGTCACTGGTGACGGCATAGGCTGCAGCCCCTGTGGCAGTGAGTTGCCCTGGGCTACCGTGTGTAGCCAGCAGCCAGCGTGAGCGGCCAGCAGCCGCCGTGAGCAGCCATCCAGAAGGCGGCGACTGATGTGCCTCGCCTGGGAAGAGTGCAATGACGGTGCCAACTTGGGCCAGTGAAGCAACGTCCTCCACAACTAGACTGAAGAACAAAAGGACAGCAACTTGTCTGTTCTCCTCCCCCAATTCCCCAGCACTGTTCCCATCCCCCCAATTCCCCAATAAAAATCTTAAAAAAAAAATGTAAGGCCTAATTTTAGAGAATCTCCTCATATATCTATACACTCTTTCCAAAATCATAACCTTGCAAACCCTTCACAAATTCCATTTCACAGTTGTACAGACTAAAATCCATTCTTGACTATTCCCTTTCTCTCACTTTCAGCCCATCAGTCAATCCTGTTGGCTCTGCTTTTAAAGGAGATCCATAATTTAACTACTGCTCACCATTCAAACACCCACCGTTTTGGTCCAAGTCAGCATTATCTCAATGTCAGCATCTTTGCAGAAAGAAACCTTCTGCTTAGAATTCTTCTGTGGTTTCCAACCCAATCAGAGCAAAACCATATTCTGTTGCCTCTCTTGCTGAGTAAGATGCAAGTTCTGTGAGGTTAAGAGATTTTTATGTATCTGAGTCTTTTCTGTATCCCTAATGCCTGACACATAGTGCATGCTTAATAATTGTTTTTGGCATTAAAAACAACTAGGCATTGTAAATAGCATGAACTGTGGCTTATTGGAAATTACAGCACATTACATTGATGCCTATTACACTAAATTCTTAGCTCTTTCAACAGATTTCATTATTAACTTTTTGTATGTTCATTTATTGTTTCAACAAATAATAAAACACCATCACTCTGCTTCTATAAAGATAAAAGATAAATTGCTTTAGCCTAAGTTGCACATAAACCAGTCAGGAGGCCAATGGGCCAATGGTCATTTACTCTAGAGTGTGTCGGGTACATTTAAGAGCATTTAATGGGACTGAATAGGAGTGATACTTCACATAGATCCTGACGTTTGTGGGTGGGTAAGGCAGCGGCAAGGAATACCTCCCTTTCTTTTGTAAGTCTTGTCCTCGTTGCAACTGGAAAGAGAATTACGAATTTTCCAGGTAAGTAAAGGTGCAGTGGGAACATTTGAAGCATCGGGAGTTCATGTGGGAAAGATCGGGGGCCAGAGACAGTATGTTCTGTTTGGAGTTGCAAGTTACCTAGAACTGTTGATTGTCATTGAAGGGATTCACCCTCAGGATCATGTAAATTAGTAAATGGGTGCAAGTAGCGCTTGTCGGATCAGTGCTACTTCTGCCACTGCTGGGCGTGGAACGGACATGGTCCATGCTTGCAGTCCAATTTGAAAGATAGAATTTACGCACATGAAACAACCGAAGAGTCACAGAAATAAGTCTTGTATAATCAAATGTTATATGGAAGAACGGGTTTATATGCTATAAAAATTGAGGAAAAGGAAAGAACATGTGGGCTGGAACCAGGAGGAAAGGCTTAATTTGAGAAGTTGAATGTGAACTAGGCTTTGGAGAAAATGTTTCGGTTTCGATTGATGAAGGGGAAAAAAGTCTCCAAGTCTGTGAAATGGCTAAGCAAAAATACAAAGACAGGAATGAACTTGATTTATTTTGAGGATGGAAAAGGGATTATTATTATTATTATTATTATTATTATTATTATTATTTACTTTTATTTAAAAGTAAACTGTTTAAAGGAATGGTGGGAAATAGTATTGACTGATTCGGATGCAAAAAAATACAATTGTATATAATTTGATTTTTCCGAAGTTTGGACCTACTACAAGACAGAGCATGGATTTTTTTTTTTTTTGAAAGTGAAGTGACAGGTTAAAAGTGACATTAGAAGATGCATCTGTCAGGAAGAGGGCACATGGAGGCTGACAGGTGAGAGGGCAGTTAAGAGGCCATTTCAGTGACCCAAGGAAGGGGGATGAGAGTATTGACTGGGATGATTAGCGTTGCTGTTGAGAGTAAGACAAAATATTGAAATAATTAAATGCAAGAATCAACAGGGCTTGATGATTAATACAATAAAGAGAGAGGAGTCAAAATGTTGAATATTGACATGTATATTTAGACAGCAGGCTTGCAATTCATAGAGCGTGCTAGTTGATCCTGTGAAGAGAAAGGAGTTAAAAAAAAAAGTCAAGATTTTGTATGTGTTATATTAGGAAGTGTCATCATTTTAGTAGTTCCCTCCCACCCCTCCACTCAATTTTTATTTGTTTATTCTTGACTTCAGACAGACTAGAAATACAGGTGGGCAGGCTCCCCTCCTGGAGCTCACATTTGGGTCGAGGAGTTCACACTGGGGTTGAAGAGACCAACAGTCAGTCAGCATATTAACAAAAAACACAAGGCCATTACCGATGGCAATGAATGCTCCACAGGAAGTTCA